AAAAAAAAAAGAATTCTTAAGTCAGAAATCCAGGAAAAAACATGCTAAACTGACACATGTCGATTTAAATACATTCCTTCCAACATGCAGTCTTTGCATTCACTAATATTTTTACTTGGAGTACTTAAGTCTTTCTCTCCTATTTTATTGACATGGCAGGATAAATACATCCCTATTACCTTTTTTAGCTTTATTATCTAGTCTTTCAGGTATATATAAGGGAGAAGTCTTTTATAGTTCTAGTTTACCACTGATAGCTGAATTTCATTTTAGGGAGCAATTTTGCTAAAGAATATGATGGTTTAGAACATGATAATAGGAAAGAAAATTAAGAAGATGGAACTGGTATCAGATTGATCTTCAGAGCCCCAGTTCTTTCCATCAGGAATGTAGACATAATAAAAATGCTAGCCACTTCTTGTCATGTCATGTGAATTAAGTCTTACGAGTTTCTGAGTGGAAAACATTTTATATCAGGTAAAATTTTTTCAGTGAATTCATTGAAATGCCAGCTTCTAAGAAATCCATTTTGAAAAGAATTGTACAGTGTGAAAATTACCAGGCAAATTGGAGAGAAATGTTTCTTCAAGTCAAAAATTTCACTTGTAATTTAGCTTATCAAGAAATTCTCACAGTCTCATTCTGTAGTGCGTGTTCCTCTGCAGAGATCATCAAACTTGTGAGATGCAACCTGCTAAGTAATTGGTAGAAATGCTTGGCCTACATTGGAGAGATCACCTTAAGGTCCTAAAAGAGTAGGTCATTTTATGTAGGAATAGCCAGAAACATTAGTAGTTATAAGAATTAAAAACTACCTTAATTTATAAATCAAACTTTAAAAATAACAAGATATGTCAATGAAAACTACTGCAACAAGCAATCTACTCAAGCTATGATTTTAGGATTTAGCTATTGTACTGTTTGGTTTTCATAGGAAGTTCTCGCAGAGTATATTAACTGCATGTGAACACAAGGCTGCTCCTTGTTAGTATTTTCATATTGGGCAAATGTGTCTCTAGACCACTCTTCTCCTCTTTTTAGCACTTTACAAACCTTATCTATTATCTTCACCTCATGTAGTACTCTAAAGACCACATTAGCTTCCCAGGACCAGTGCTGTATATAAGCAGGCTTTAATGTCTTCCTGCTAATAATAGCACAGAATTCCATCACAAGAAAGCATCTTTGTTCTCACATGAGTAACAGCATAGGTAACAAGCATTCAAACATGTGCACAGACACACACACACACACACACACCTCTGCTGCTAGAGCAATTATGAATCATGCTAGGGTTTGGTATTACTAATACCTGTAGAAAGAGCCCCCCCCCCAAATAAACCTTACTGACCCAGACAGATTTTTTATGTGGTTGATACATTGAAAGATTATTTAAAATGTTTTGTTTTGCATAATTTTATATTTTAAAATTTTTATTGATACATTTTAGATATACATGATAGCATTCTTCATAGAGATTAATTTATTTGTTGGCTTTTTGTGTGTGTGTGGTTTTTTTTTTTTTTTTTTTTTTTTTGGAACAGGGTCTCGCTATGCAGTTCAGGCTGGCCTTGAGGTCACTTTGTAGCCCAGGCTAGTCTCAAACTCGCAAGGATCCTCCCACCTCAGCCTCCTCAGTGCTGGGATTACAGGCATGAGCCACTATGCCCAGCTCTCTGGGTTACCAGGGATTGAACTCACTACCTTGCACTTGCCGGGCATGCACTTATGCTGCTGAGCTAAATCCCCGGGCCCTCTTTGTTGGCTTTTTGAGACTGGATTTTTCTATGCAGTTCAGGCTGACCTTGAATTTCCAAAGATCCTCTTTTTTCAGCCTACTAAATGCTGGGATTAGAGGCATGCTTAACCACACCAGGCTTCATAGAGATTTAGTCTTGCTTCTTTTTTCCATTCCCCTCCCCCTCCCTTCAACCTCTCTTTCCCTCTTTATTTATGAAAGCTTTATTTCTATTTTTTCCTTCTGATCTTTTTTTCATAATTTTTCATTATATTTCTCTAAAATTACTACTGTGTTTGTAAAGTACTCTTCTTAGATTTTTATGCTTTTAGGATATAATTAACTCTAAAATATACCTGGATTTTTCTTAAACCTATCTAGACATGTTTAGATTTTGATGCATATTTAAAGAATTAAATTGAAACTACATAATTGGGGGCTGGGGATTTAGCTCAGTGGATTAAGCAGCTGTCTGGCAAGCTCAAGGTCATGAGTTCGATCCCCTGCACCAAAAAAAAAAAAAAAAAGAAAAGAAACTACATTATTGAAGTTTTTATTCTTTTTTTCATTCATTGAAAAATATTTTGGGGGTTCTTCGAAATAGAAAAAAGCAGCTTGGAATTGTTCGTGTTTCATTTGCTTTTTGTAGATGCTGATATTGTTAAATACTCAATTTATCAAAGAGAAAATGATTCCTTTGTATATTTCCTGTCTGGAAAATTTTGGGGAAATTAAAAATTGTTTAAAATTTGCACATTTCATTAAGATTTTTGCGAACTGACTCCTTAGGAAATTCTAATCTGTATAAAGTAATCACTAGAAAATCAGGAGGGCAAAGTGCAGATAATACTTGGTTATTTATGTTTGCGTTAAATGTTTAAATATCAAAATAATGAAGAAATGAGGAAAAGGTGGATAGTTAGAGTCCATCCTTTACTTCTCAAAGTGTAGAAACTCATTTTTATCATGCTGCTACATTTATACATCTCTGGGTGTATCAGAATATTTCCTACTTTACCTGTCAAGTGAAACCTTGCAACTTAAAGATGTCAGTTTTTACAATAATACTGGTCAAAAATTGACTTTTAAATTCTCAGGTAATCAAATTGTGATTCCGTTGGCTTTAATGATTCGACAGCAATTGGGCTGAGAGCATATGAAGACAAAAAAGTTTATCAAAACATGGTCAACCATAGGGAGAAATAAGAGAATAAAAATTTGTTACCTTGAATAGAAACAGCAGATTCGAGCATATAAAATAATGGTTACCAAGCACTGTATTTTGGAATTTTAAAAAGTTTAAATAATTTGAAAATTACTGAACACTTAATAAAAAGCACTTATTCAAAGAAATTAACTACTGAAATGAAGAAATCAATGAAGAAAGTATGGCAAATGTTCAAAGTAAATTACAAAGATATGGTGGTCAACAGTATTGAAAGTCACATAGACGCCACTATGAGATTAATGTTCATGTTGCTGAAGCCAAATAAAAGCTTAAATTTGTTTCAGCAATTCCTAACTACCTTCCATATATCATGCAATTCAACTAATCTTTAAATTGTCGTTAAATTCTACCTTAAGAATGCTTTCACAAAGACATGCAATTCATATCATCTAGAGTTACTGTCATTTCTAGGCTAAGTCCCATGGAAATTCATAACTTAGAAATGAAAGTCACAAAGATGCAACAGCCTTCATAATGCCAATGCAGCAGTTATAAATATTTCATGAACATTGCATGGGCAGGGGCAGATCTCCATTTTCATGAGTTAGAATTTGTACAGCTAAGTCTTCAGATTTTACTATTCATAATGCACAGTATACCCTGTAGAGCATTCCATATAGTGCTCTTTAATATTTATGTTTAATGAAGAAATTACTGTTCTGAAAAGAGAACAAACCAAAAAAAAAAAAAAAAAAAAAAAAGAAAAGAAAAGAAAAAAAGGTTTCTCGTTAAAGGATAAAGTTTGGCTGAATAGAGATGATAATTATCAACACAAATTAACTCACTGCAGTATCTTACCACACAAACATGACTTTTATAGTAATGCAGGATGAAAGATCAAGATGTATTAAAACTAAAAGAAAAAATTCTTTCTAAAGGTTACAGCATTAGAAATCTCCTCTTAAAGAATTCAAAAGGTTAAAATGCAAAGAGCAACCTTCTTAAATATAAAAATATTAGTTACAAATTATATACTTGCCTGCTATTTCATGGTTTAGATTTATGTCTATATTTTTCCTGGGTTTCTCCTTTATTCAAAAAACATTTTAACTTGCTAAGATAATATTACCAAGTTCAATAATGAATTACTATTGCATATATTAAGGTAATTTATCAAAGCACATTATCACTACCTGTCAGAATAAATTTTGCACTCAAAGTAATGGAAAAAAGGACTATTGTATGTGTTGAAATCAAAGAACATTACTAAAGCTAAGTTATTTCAATTGAAAGGATATGTGTTTGCCCTCTAAATGATACTTCTCCCATGAGAAAATAAAAGCTTGAAAAATCACAGGAAACAGGCACAGGAAAATGTCTATTTCTTGCTTTTAAACATGAGCATTTGATATTTTATTTCATTTTTGTCATTTTGATCAATTCTTTCAAGTAGGTGACTATTCAAAATGCTGCACAGATTTTGGTAAAATTTACAAAAGTAAGCTGAAGTTACTGATCAGCTCATGTATAATCCAAGCTGAACTATTCCATTTTAGCTTGTAGTATGTATCACATTTAGACTGATGATAAGTTGCAGATATATATTTCTCTTGAATACATTTCAACAGTACTAAGGCTTCTGATAATGAAAGCAACTAGCTTCGGATTGAATACTATTCTCCTGGGAGTTTGCAGTTCAAATATATTTTATTAGGCTTAAACCAATGAGGTCACTACAAATGCTGTAATGTTTTCTGAATTTACCATCAAAAGTTTATGCTTCAGTCATGATACTGTTTGACTGAAAATGAGAAATTCCTGCTTCCATTTAGTTCTTTGTAATTTTATTTTCCAAATACTCCCTTGAGGAATTTAACCTTTATGTGATGAATTTGCAGTTCACTTGAAGTGTGTTAACCTTAGTTCCCTAATGAGTCTAGGTGTAATACTGAGGAAGAATTTGAGAAATATATCATGTAGCTCATTGTCAAGTTGGATTTGTCTTGCACATCCCAAGCTTTATTATTGCTGCAGTACACATTTTGGTCACAATTCTTTAATTATGTTCTATATTTAACTGACCTATTTGAACAGGATCCAGAGCTGGTACGGAACATCTGTCGCTGGGTTAGGCAAGCTGTTCAGGTTCCTTTTTTTGCCAAATTGACCCCAAATGTCACGGATATTGTAAGCATCGCAAGAGCTGCAAAAGAAGGTAAGTACTAGACTTGCATTAGTTGCTCAGTTATGTAAATATTATCCTGAATTTTGTAGCTTACTGAAGTACTTCTTTTTCCACAAACATTTGGGTGTATTTTTATGTTTTAAGAAAAGTATCATATTGAGCATTCTCAAGTGAAGATTTACATTTGGACTTCATCTAATAAATGGACTCTTAATTTTAGCCTACAAACACAAGATCATTGATAATGTTGCCTAACAAGCATTTTTTGCAAAGGTTAAATAAATAGATACATGCAAATAAAAACATTCATTAAGACAAGTTATAAAACAAAGCTACAGTTACAGCAAGCCACCCCCAAATTAAGAATCTCATAATGTAGCAATTCAGAAGTAGCAGTTGAATCTCTAATGAGATTTAAAAAAAAAAAAAGACATCAGATTCCACCCTGTAAAATTGCTATGTTTCCTTTATATTAGAGAGTGCAGCACATTACCTTAAACACACACTCAGTATCTGTTGAATACATAAATCATGCAGTCGATGCATGACTTTACAAATCACACATATATCTTATATTCCATGGAGATTGCACTCTGACTTGCAAACAGATTGTAAATTACTTGGGAAGTAAAATTGAATACAAAACATTTGGCATCAATATATCCACCTAATATTTTAGAAATTAAAGTCATGATAATTAAAATTTTTTAAGTATATCTAGCCTTTTAAGTCTGATGGTTGGAGTTAAATTTATGCAGATATTTAAATAAGAGAAAATACTCTCCAAACAAGGTAGTGTCCATTTTCCTAGATTATGTACATTTGATTAGGCTTTAACCATTGTTTCTTTAAAAACTGAAGACAAATGTTGTGTTTTCCACAGGTGGCGCAGATGGCGTTACAGCCACCAACACAGTTTCAGGTCTCATGGGCTTGAAAGCTGATGGCACACCCTGGCCAGCAGTTGGTATTGGAAAGCGGACTACATATGGAGGAGTGTCAGGTCGGTGCTGTCCTTTCCTTGTATTATACCTTCTTGCAGGTTGCTGAAATTTCAGGCTATTATGTTGGAAGCAAGAGTATCCTTTTTGATGATCATAATTATGATACATTTCTCATCACTATTCCTAATAGTAACAGCAAATGGAATAGACTGTGAAGGCTCAAGTTATTATGTCTGTTAGTGCAAGATGAGAGAACAGCAAAATAGGGTCTTACCCAAATTCTAGTCTCTTTTGATCTGTGCTTTCTTGAGAACTCCTCATTGTCATGATTATCCTGTCACTAATTAGTAAAAGCTAATGCCACATCCTTTCAGAAGAAAAATGCGTGCACCCTAACTGTAATATTCTTTTCATAGTCTGAATTAGTTTCTATTCTTCTTAGAATTTTAAAATCTATCTTCTTCAAACAACGTTGTTTTCACAACTGATCCAAATATACCAATTAGTCGTTACATTTCAGCTTCAACTGACAAAACTTCACACCTTTGCATATTTTTTTCTCATCCTTAAATACTTGAATTTGAAAAAACAGAGAGAATTTTAATCCCAATGTCTCATTTGGTCTCTTTGCCCCATGCACTCTGTTGCTGTGACAACATGCACTTGGCCTTGCAAAGACAATGTTGTAAGGTTCTTGACTGTGCTAGCATGGGGATTAGTCTCCTTGGTGATGGAGAGAGTGGTAGACATGCATAACGGAGCAGTGCTCCACTGTTCAAGAAAATCAGTGCTGAATCAGACCAAAAAATGTGCTTTTGGAAGAGGCTAGATAGACACAAATAAAGCTCTATCCATGGTTAGGCTTTCTGTTGTGAGAGTATGAAGTATGCCCATGAGCTATGGTAAAATAGCAACAGCATAATGTTATGTTCTGCTTTTAATTGGATCTCCTCCCCACAATATCAGAAAGAGAAAGGCTGACAAGTAACACCTGCTCAGTCCTATGCCACTATCTTTTATCAGGAACTATCAAACAGGGTCTTAACTATTACTGTAATGCAGAGTAACATGAACTGTTAGCATGTGCCCAAGAAAGAGTCAAGAGATTCCAGAGTTGGTATGTAAGTAACATGCACTGTGTTTTCTGTCAGCCCATTTCAATTTTTCTAGCTTGCCATCTTGACAGCATGAGAATAAAGGAGGTCACAGAGGGTGTTGAACATTAAAAATTAATAAAAGAACTATTGCAGTAGTATTTTATATAAGTAACACCATTCACATTTTCCCATTTAAGCTGTAATTTCTGAATATTTCCCCATACTATAACTCAGTCTAATAAAACTGCAAAATTACAGCATTAGAAAAAGTCTTTTGTGTCACAGTCTTTAAGTATACCCACAGAGGAAATTATAGCAGTAACTGAAAACAAGTTCAGCTATACCTCAGGGCCTGTTAGCTTTTCCAAAAAACTCTATTTCTAAGATTTATAAATTCATATATAAATATTCACTTAGGCTGTAAGTTCAACTAAGCCTAGATAGAACATTCATTTTAAAACACAGAAAGTCCCTAATATTTTTAAGGACTTGTTCCCCATTTCTAATAAGTTCTATATTAAGTTGCTTCATATTAAACAATCTGTTTTGAAAATAGCCTTTCTTCATATTGACAAAATTAATACAGTTTTTCCTCTTTAAAATAATGCCTGCTCTAGTATAAGGGTAATGGAAAGTGTAAAACAGTTTAAACAAGCCCTGATAATATATTTTAAGATAAGCACATTTCATAACAAGGTGCCTTAGGACTGAACTACAGCAGAGCTCAGCCTAGTAAAATTGTGTTAAATAATCATGGTTTAAATTTTAGGGATGATGAAAATATAAAAATGGCTAAATAGAATTTCTAGTTTGTCAAATATGGCTGCAAAAACTTCAAATTCTGCTTCAATATAGAAAACCACACAAAATATGCTAGATAGTAAATAGTTCTACAAGTTCAAAAAAAGTACCCTAGTATACACCATTATTATCTTCCCAAGTGTTCTTTCACAACACTGGAATGCCCTCTCTTAAAAGACCTGTTTGAATCACAGATTTTTTTTTAAAAACAAAAACTAAATAGGGTTCAATTTTGGGTACTTACCTAACAAGCCATAACTTTCCACTGCCAGAAAAGATTATTTCTCTTGGGCTGGGGATTTAGCTCAGCGGCATAAGCGCCTGCCTTGCAAGCAGGCCGTCGTGAGTTCGATCCTTGGTACCGATAAAAACGAAAAAGACCAAAAAAAAAAAAAAAAAAAAAAAAAAAAGATTATTTCTCTTTTTCAGTGTGGTCTCTAGTCCATTATTCAGTTTGTATTATTTTTCTCAGAATAAAATGTCTACTGTGTGAAATACGGGTTTTGTTTTTCTTAAATGGAAAAACAGTGCGGTATCTGAGTTAGTTTTTCTGCCATAGAAAAACGGCCACCTTTCAGCATTGTTCTCTTAAGATGCATTAGCAAACTGTGGACAGTAATATTCATTGGGAGATAGAATCTCAGCTAAGGGATGTCATTTGTGTTATTCAAAGAAAATTATTCTGGATTTTAGAGAAATGTTTTTCAAACATTGTTTCCCAACTCATAAGTACATGATGGAATCAGGTTTATTGATCTATAATCCATATTTCTTAAAAATTAAAAAGAATTTTTAAAATGTCAGAGTCTTTTGCATATATATAGAATAGGTGATGTTTGGTCAAATTTCTTTATCAATTATCTTAAAGATATGCCATATTTTTAATGAGCAATTATTTTGTCAATATTTGGAAAAACTTGCTAAATTGTTTAATGTTTAAGAGAGTTTATTGGTTGTATTTTTCCAAAATTATTTTTTATGTAAAATCTATATAAAGTTTACTGCAGTTGCTTGTAGAGTTGATACCTTCTCAAGGAAGAAACTAGTGTTGACAATGAAATAAGTCACCATTTTGGACTTCGCTTTATTTGTGATGCTGAGAGTTTGTTATCCAGTGTGAATGCTCACAGGTACACCGTGTGCTGCTATATGAATAAAGAATTCATTATTATTTCATGGTAAATCATTTCCCCAGAGCAATTACTTAATTTTTCTCTCAAGAATATTATTCCACTTATATTCTTTTTAAGTTTCTATTTATTTGCTAATTATCTTATGCTGGAAATTGATGCTTGGAAGAATGGCTGTTAATAGTGATTGGACAGCAAGAGGGTCTCCTAAGTGTAGTTTTCTTATATTGTTTAAAAATAAATTCTAAATGGACAAAATTCCAACATTTAATATAGTCTGAAAGTTTCTTGTGAAATACCATTATGTCTTAGACTGAGATCTATGTTTGAAGTCTTCCATATGAATTAGATTCCTGGGTGAATTATCTCAAAAAAGTCATGAAAGACAAATGTTTGTGCATTACAAATTGGAATTTAGACATATACTTATCCTATATTGTTGGGCATGTTGAGTGAAGTTCTAAATATCTCAAGGATCTTCCATTTTGTTTACGGAGGATATGTGCTTTCTCAATTTCACATTTTACAAGTATGGTTGAAGTTGATTCCACATTCATCATGTTGATATTTTATCATACCAAATCACATAAATATCACAATATTAGATGCATTTCTTGTGAGTAGCTAACTTCAACGAAGTTTGAAAGTTACATTGTTTTGAAGAAAGTTTTCTGTTAAATAAAATAAACCAGTAAGTCCATAGAAAGATAAGTTCTACTTGTTATATTTTAAAACTTTTGATAAGAGAGAAAATTGGAATCACATCCTAAGGTCTTGCCTTCTACCTTACTATTCTAGGAACTGCATGTTCCTCCCCACAACTCACTTTCAGGTGACTAGAATCAGGGAGAGGTGCTTCCGACATATGAAGCAGGTTAATAAGAAAATGACTTAAAAACAAGTCTCAATCATGGAAGAAATACCTGGTAACATTCACAATGTATGTGTCCCTAAATATTGAATTGTATATTAGGTGATTTCATGTTGAGAACAATATCAACATAAATTTTGGTCAGTATACTTAAAAGATTCTTTCATGAAACTAGGATTGCTGATTAAGCTTTCCACCATGTAAGTACTTCCATCCAAATAATTGATTTAAAGAAGCCATTTTCTACTTCTGTTTGGGTACTACATTCTTAACATTGGTAAGTTGATCTAGAATCCAGGCAAGAAATGTTTTTATATAAAATAGGAGTTAATTAATTCAAGTAAATTATTGTATGTGGAGACAGAGAAATTCTTTTGATTTTTGCATATTTGATTAGAAGAAATCCTAATTTCTTCAGTAAATAGTGAACAGTAAACTATATCATTGAGTGAGTTAATCACTATTTTTCCTAGTTTTCTTTCTTGTTTCAGTTTAAAATTTGACCTTTTTATGACCTCATCTTCAAATATTGAGAGCATCTTAAAACAGCTCTCAACTCTGTGACTATCACTCGTCTGTATAAATGGTGCTATCCAGCTGCAGGGTGACTTTTTCATATGAAAATCTTCCCTGTGAGTAACATTCTTTTAAAAGATAGTTAAGAATGAGTCCTACATGGCATAAACTAGGAGTATGTCTTTCCTTTGATTAACTCCATGAGGTTAACCTTTTTCATTGGAAGAGAGAGTAAGAATTTTTTAGTAGAATAAACTCATTTGAATAAGTTTTGATGTTTCCTGTGGTTTTACTGCCTTTTATTAATATGAAGTGGGCACATTTCTTAGATTTAATGTTTTTCCATTGTCCTATATACATACTGTTTATTGCATATGTAAGCACATGTGTGTGTACACACGTAGGGAGATTTGAAATAGCTTTCCAGAAAGTATTTTAAGTAACAATTTAGGCTCAATGTACCTTATTTCCAACAAGCTTATAAAGTGTTTTGAATGATTTTGCTTGCCAATTTTTTCCATTTTATCAAATAAAAGGAAATTATTAATACTGTGTTTGATGCTTCCTTCAAATTATTAACTTTATTTTGTATTAAAATAAAAGTTTATTAATTATTTATAAATAATTCATTGAAGAAAGCTTTT